GCCACTGCGTAGGGCTAAGTCTAGTCTAGTTAGTTGATAAATGTACCAGAAGTACTTTAAAATACAAAAGTGGAGCTAAATAACCATAGACACAATCAGTTCTTTGAACAGAGATGACAATAGCGATTTTTATGTCTTTATCAGAAGAGCAGTATTTTAAAACTAGCTCTATATGTTAGACTCTAAATCTTAGATGAAATGATTACCTTCCAATCAGCTGGTTTTAGTCACTGTGAACGTGTCTACACTTGGAGGCCAAGCCATCTACCTGTGCGTATTCATAACTACATTTTCATTTCTCTATGCATAGAAATGTCGAGAAATACAGATATCACTCATTTGTCAAAATAAAAATTATATACATCCAAATAGGCTCTTTACATATCTCAAATAAACTCTTTCCAGATATTATCAGTCTGTATTGCATAGTTGACCTTACCAGGCTACACTCTCATTTTTTCTCAAAAGCCGTGTTAAGATACAGCAAAATGCTAGTTTCTGCAATGACCAGAATGCTACTTTTCAACTTCGACTCAGCCTCTGCTGTAGTTAAGTTTGAAACCTTAAAGACTGCTATTCAAGTCTGTTAATGACTTAAACAGATTTCATTTTTTCCACCCACAGAATTTAGATCAGAGAATTCATTCTCTTCAAGTTTGGAGATCCAGCAGAAGAGAGAGATTCGTATTTATCAGTCCTGGGCTTTGTCTGTGCAGGCACATTTTCTTCTTTGGGGGCTGAAGCACTCGGCTACCAATGGGCACACAGGAAAATTCAGATTCGATGCTTGCCGCCCGCCACAAAGGACGGGGGCATCTCACTCAGGAGTTGTTCAAGGCCATCTGTGGATAACAAATTGTAGATAACAACCCTCCCTCCACATCACTGCTGGGCCACCACTGGACCAGTAACTTAACGGAGCAACGAGTGTCTACTTATTTGTCCTTTTTTGTAGGCCTTCCTCACCCACATTTTTCATGTAACAGCTTCAGTTAAAATAATCAGTTGCACAGGAGACTTGCTGCTTCTGATTACAAAAGGTAAAAGAACATGAGATCAACGCTAAAGGAAATAATGTTTAAACATGTATTTGGGGGCACTCACAAAAATCCCCCCCCCTTTTTTAAGTTGAATGCCAAATAGTGATCAGACTAGTAAATCTGAAGGGACTTAGGAAAGAGGTCTTTGGGTGGAAAGCCACCATGTGAACCTATTGGAAAAAAAGGCAAAGTAAAAGCTAGAGCTAAAAACAGGACGTGGAAAAAAACCCAAGATGGCAGGACATGAGGTGTATCTGGGATGGACAGACAAGAGCATGAACGTGACAGTGAGCTTGGAGACTGTCTCTAAACAGTTTCCCGATCAGCTCTACTGCTGAACGAAACTCTGGAATTTTAGAACACAGTAGTTCAGGTAAGTGAGAGTTATGTTTCTCAGAAGCAGCAATAAAAAGAAACACAGAACTACATTGCCTCTGATATGTCTAATGTTTACCGAAAGGAAATGTGCCAGTGGCCATCTTAGGCAACATAAAATTTGGTCCAAATTAAGCATAATAACCAAAATGGTTTATTTGAAACCTGATTACTAAAAAAAAAATTTCAAAATTCAGAGTATTAAAAATTCTGTAAGGTTCACGCAGAAGTAAAAAGCTAATTCTCTACAGGGGTTTACCCCAATGTCCATAGGCATTATCAGTTTCTATTTACACAGAGGTTTTAATGTGAAGTGACCTTTGGCAACCCTGAAATCTATAAATTACGAACTTCCACGATGGAATTATATACTTGAAAGTTGTGGCCTCAAAGCACTGGCGGAACAACAACAAAAAAAAGGTCACCCATCAAAACAAGTCAAGATGACAAAAATATTTCTCATTTAAGACTGTGCATTTAAAGATCCAATAACCATCGCCCTCCCCACCAAACAGGAAATAAATGGCCGTGAGCTTTAGAAGGGGAAACAGCGGATCGTGGAGTATTCAGAGATCTGAGGCTTTTGCATGAATATAATGGCGCAGTCCTAAAGCTAAAAAAAGTCAGACAATTGCACGCATGTCAGAAGCCAGAGCAGGCTCGCTCCACACCTCACATCCCGGATTTAGAGGGGGACGTGGCTGAACAGGTAAGACACAGATTCACCATTGTGGGTTCTTCGGATCGCCTCAGCCAAGATCATCGAAATGTCAATAACCTAAATGCCAAGGAAAAGACAGAAAAGGGGAGAGGAAAGTGCGACATCTTAGTCATGTTTAATCAGAAACTTCCAAACCAGAAAGCCGCGAAATGATTTCTCCTGCACATTAGATACACTATCAAACCCCCAACACCCGTTTCTTCTGAGGACAGACAGCTTTGGGTCTATCTTCAACTCACAAGCCTGTACGGCATCCTGGAAGTGAGATTTTCCCACGCAGATGCTTCAGAGGCTTTTCAGGGCCGTGGACAACCAGAGAGATCCTTTCCTTTCCTTTGCTGTTTTGAAATTAATTTTACTCAATCATTATGTGGGAGGTTATTCTCTCTCTCAGCGACTGCAAACGCAGGGACTGTGCTGTTTAAAAGCACAGCTGTGATCACCTCACTCTGGGGTCAGCATGAGACCAGCCAGAGGCGGTACATAAATGGATGGGCACGGCTGTGTTCCAATAAAACTTTATTTACAAAAACAGCTGGTGGGCTGGACTGGGCCTGTGGGCCTTAAATTGGCTGACTCTCAACTACTGATCATCAGACATGAAAATCTAAGGCACGGCTACTGTGACCGTTCTTGAACGTGTCTTATCTCCTGGTGCCAAATGAACTGTGCTGTTCTCGGATGGATGAGAAACCGATCTTCACGCTCTAATGATGGGGATGGAGGCTTCCGGTGATGAGAGGACTAGCCACGCTTCACCAAGACAGAAAGGCAAAATGGGGATGCAAACCCCTTCAACTTATTTCAGGCCAGTTGGTCTCAAGTGATCATCATCAACTCCCCGGGGTCCTCCTAAGTCAGGAGGGGCAGGAGGGATAAAGCTTGGAGATCCTCGGCACAGCCCAGCTACTCCTTTGTTTTCCTCTCTCATTTTTAAAAAATGCAGCAAATTTTATAACATAAACGTTGTCATTTTATCCATTTTTAAATATACAACTCAGTGGCATTGATTACACTCCCAAGGTCGTGTAAGCGTCACTGCTGTCCATTTCCAACACTTCTTCATCACCCCGAACAGAAACTCTGCTCCCGTTAAACATGAACTTCCCACTCCCGGGCTCCTGGCAATCACCATCCTGCTTTCCCTTCCTATGATTTTGATTACTCTAGGGCCCCCAGATATGTGGAATCCAGTTAAAATATCATATATTTGTCCTTTTGTGATGGGTTTCTTTCGCTTAGAGGACTACTTTCAAGGTTCACTCATGTTGTTGCGTGTATCAGAAGTTCCTTCCTTTTAAGGCTGAGGAATATTCCATTGTATGAGGAGACCACACTTTGGTTATCCATTCAGCTGTTGGGGAACACTGGGTCATTTTCACCTTTTGGTTACTATGAAGAGGGCCGCTAGGAACATTCATGTACAAAGTTTTATTTGAATATCCATTTTCAGATTTGGGCGTATAACCATAGAGCTAACCTGGTGGGTCATATAGTGATTCTGTTTAACTTGAGCACGACCTTTTTCTTACTTACCATTTTTCTATTGTGGTTTTATTCACTTACTGTTTCTAACTTTGACCCCTGGCGGCCCCAGCCTTTCCCAGAGATCTACCGTGTATCATACCCTCCCTTTATGGGAAGCTGTAACCTCTGGCAACATCTGCCTTAGCGAGCAGTCACACACACAATACGTGATGCTGTTTCTTGGGATCTGAGGCGTGTGCCTCACTGCCCAGCTCTGCCTGCAATATAACCAGTACCTGAATCTTGGAGCAGTGTCTCATTTTGTCCTCTTGCGGAATAGTGTTTGTGACAACAACTGCCTCGAAGGCAGCATTATTTATTCTGGAAATAGCTGGCCCAGAGAAGATCCCATGGGTAAGGATAGCATAAACTTTGGTGGCTCCAGCTGAGAGTAGCCTGTAAAAGAGAAGACAAAAAAAATTAAGCACACACAGATATTCTTGAGACATCTCCCTTAGTGTGAATTTAAAAACAACAGTGTGTGCCATAAAGGAAGATACGAAACCAATTTCGTTCACATTTATCAGCCTACAACAGGATCTTTTAAGGTATGAGCTGGCCAAACACTTTGTACTCCTTAAATCAGTGATTCTCAACCTTGGCGTTGGGCCTGGATAACTCTCTGCTGTGTAGCACATCCCTGGCCTCTAGAGTACCACCCCTCTCCTCAGTTGTGACAACCAAGAATGTCCCCAGACATTGTCAACTGTCTCCCAGGGAACAAAACTGCCCTTGGTTGAGAGCCACTGGTTTAAACCAATGAAGCCAACATATCAACACGTTGACATCCAATCAGTAGAGAAGGTTGAGCTATTTTATACTCTTTGTTCTGTCTTGGAAACCTGCTCCTGGTGCACCCCACGTCAGACAGGCCACAGTACAAGGGTTCCACAGCCACACACGGCTGGGCCCCAGAAGCTGAGGAGGCAGAAGGAAGCAAGGGCCTGAAGAGACTTTTCCTTTTGTGCTCAGTTTTAGAAGCACCTCCGCTGACCTTTTTTAACATGGAAGTTCAACCTTGAAAATAAAAACCAAGCCATCAAGGAGCATGGCTTTTTCCTACCAATACAAAACAAATGGGCCTAGAATTGACTTTGGTCTGAAAAACTGCTGCTAAGCCATCAGTAATAATTAGGAAAAGTGAGGTCGGTTTTCAAAAGCTAACATTTTCTCCTTTCTTAGCAAGATGCCCTAACACTCCCCCACTAAACCATCCCAAACCGCCCTCATACTTGTCCGCGGCGTGGCAGATGGTGCCACACGTGTCGGCCATGTCATCCACAAGGATAGCCACACGGTCCTTCACGTCGCCCACAAGAACCATCCGGTCCACTTCATTCGCCTTCTTCCTCTCCTTGTGAATCAAGGCAAACTCCACATTCAACCTGTCCGCAATTGACGTGACCCTGCACGGAAACACAGGCAGATACGTCGAATACTGCCAATACAAAGGCACCGTGTTCTTCCCAGCTGTGTTTTAGGACTGCCGTAACCAGCCACACTCGGGATGATGCAAGAATCAGGCCTCACCTGCAGAGCCAGGCCTCGTCTGGGATACGCATTAAGCAACCCATGGGGAGACATGTCCAGGGACGTGGCCTTGCACTTGCAGCGGCTGGTGAAGGTGGTCGGGGAGCCTTGACTACAGGCTAAAACTCCCGGCTAAGGAGCTGACACTCAATGGGTTAGCGTTCGTGGGTACCCTTTAGAGTCAGGAGCACAACTTCAAGCAAGTGATTTAGAAACTATCTGCTCAGTCTGGGGAGCAGTCCATGGGGACAAGGTCTAGGTAGCTCATCCACGCAATCCGTAGGCATGTGACAACGGGGTTGGATGTACTCGAGGCCTCCGGAGGCTGTGATCACAGTCCGACCCCTGCCCATCTACAGCAAATGCTCAAAGCTCATCAGCTCAGAAAGGCCTGCGTTGGCAACAGAAGGACAAGGAGGTAGGCCAGGCTTGCTGGTGAGCCCAGAGCATTCTGGAATTTTCCTGTGAAGAGTAGACTTCAATGATGAAACCAGCACAACATAACACCATTGACACGAAGATTTTCCTAGTTTACTTTCTAAAGTAACAGCCACGCATTATGCAATTCAGCTAAAATAATGTTTATTGAGGGGACCGAAACATATACAGTCATACACCCCAATTTAGTACACACTGATCAGACGATACAGCCTCTGTATGCTCTTTAAGTCCTGGTCCCAATAACTGCGCCCTCCTCAGGTGGTGACCAGGAACAGCGTTCCATGGGTGCCCTGATCAAGCAGAACGCCACCAAGTCTCTGAGAGAAACCCACTTTCTGGGGCCAAGGGGGCTGCATGAAGGCGAGTGTGTATCGCAGGCTACCCTTGCCTGCTTCTGAGAACATTCCACAACCAGTATTTTTTTTAATTGTGGCAAAAAAATTGTGGTTAAAAAATTATGAATATATATGTATGTAAGTATGTATAAATAGAATTTAAAAGCTGACAAAAATTTTGCCCCGTAATCACCTTAAAACATATACCACCATTTACATGCTAATTTTATTAAAAAAATAAGCCATTTAAACTTCAATGAAAGAAAGCTAGTTTCTCAGAATGCAGGACAGGTTCTCCCAAGAAAAGACTTTCAAACACCTTACAGATGTACATATATATGAAATTTTGTGCTTGTTTATTTGTAAGGACTAGGGTGATCTTTGTGTGGCAGGGCCCTGGTCCACAGCCCCACATGGGGAAGCACCACCATTTGGGGTTGAAGTTCAAAGCCACTTAAGGCCAAGCTAACCTGTGATCACACCTCCGCAGGCCATCCTGCTCTAAGCCTGCGAACAAACAGACCAGCAGGGGGCGCCTGTGAGGGAAAGAAGCAGAGCGACGTGGTTGTGCGGGTGGGCACGGGCCATGAGTGGGAGTCCCAGCCACTTCAGGTACCCAATGGTAATGTCAGAAGCAGAAAATAAAGGAACAGATCCCTGCAAAAAGCCCCTTGAGTTGCTAGAATATTCCTATTTCTCAACAGGCTACAACTCTTCCATGTTGGTAACTGAGACTTAATACCGATTCCTAAAATACGATGTTGAGACTATGCATCACACTGAAATCTTGGGCAGAAAAAGCTAGAACAAAAATACATAGTTTGATTTTTGTTTCTTCTGGATAAATGATTACATTCTTTCCAAAAGTAAAACGAAAGACATCAAATCTGAATTACTTAGTTTCACCAACTTCCCAAACCACCTTTACGTTACGTTGACTGCCTCAACAGTGGTGTTTCTTCCTAGAGTTTATTTTCTCTGCTTCTGAGACTATCCATGAGTGACCTCTTGTGGTGATATAAAGTTTTGTGGCGATATTAAATTTTACCTGGAAAGAATCAAGGCTACAAGCTTTTTCTTAAGGCAACAAGTTCCAATTTGTCAGCTACATATGTGTTTTCCTTGGTGAAACAGGACTTTTTACATCAAGCGAAGAAGCCACAGATAACATCAGCTGCATGTATCATGTGTTACCTGAGAGGCTGTTCAGTCTGTTGGGTAACAGCTTACTCCAGAATATGAGGATGACAGAAATAGACAGCAAAAAGTTGGTGGAACAGGAAAGCTGACAAAAAATCTGAAATGCACACCGCTAAAAAGCTTGCCTTTCCTGGTGGTCTGAGTGCAGCTGCTTTGAAGGGGATGTGAATAGAACAGCTTGTGGCTGCTGGCCATTTCCTCTGGCTAGTTGATTCTGCATTTTTTAAAGCAGGAGTTGGCAAGTGGATGGGGGTGCCGGGTATATAACAAAAGATGGTATTTTGAATCAGTGGGGGAAATGGGTTATTTCATAGTTTTGGAACCATTTGATAGCTGAGGGTAGGGAGAGAGCTGGATTCTTAATTCATTCTTTATTCCAAAACAAATTACAGATGGAAGAAAAACTGGAACATTAAAAAGGAAAAAGGAAACCCTTAAAACATATGAAATCATGGAAGAACAAGACTGTTAAGTAAGGGTGAATCCTTCATAAACCCAGAAGCCATAATGTGAAAAAGAGCTATGTATCACTACATAAGAATGTTTTAAAAGTCCCGCAGAAAACAAAAATACAAAAAGGAAAGAACTAAAAAACCAAAAAATTATCTGCAACACACACGAGAGGCAGAGATGCACTTCCTGACTGTGCAGAACTCTGAACAAAGCAGAGGAAGAGGCCTCCAGCTGACAGAAAGGGCAGAAGGTACGAACAAAAAACTAAATGTGCTGGAAGAGGGCTCGACCTCACGCACAGCAACCAGAACTAACAGGAAGAGACCCCACGTACCACTTAGCTGATCGGAAAGCGAAAGAAGCCTGATACATCAGCAGTGCGCGCAAGCCCGTGCACAGTCACTGGCATCCACACTTGGGAATGTCAACTGGTCCGTCTGTTTTTCAATTGAAGTGTAGCTGATTCACAATGTTGTGTTAGTTTCTGGTGTACAGCAAAGTGATTCAGTTACACATACATACATACATACATATATATATATATATATATATTCTTTTTCAGATTCTTTTCCATTATAGGTTATTAAAAGACACTGAATATAGTCCCCTGTGCTGTACAGTAGGACCTTGTTGTTTATCTCTTTTATATATAGTAGTGTGTATCTGTTAAACCCAATGGTCTACCTTCTTTGAGAGACCAAATTGTGCCCCTGTCTATCAAAATCGAAACGGCTCATGCCCTTTGACTCACCAGCAGCAGTTCCAGGAACGTGTCCTGCTTGCACATGGACACGGAACGTGTCCTGCTTGCACATGGGCACAGAACGTGAGAGTGGGTGCAGTGCTGCAGGCATGTACTTAAGAGCGCCAACCACAGCACCGACTAAAGAGGAACAGGAAACTGGTTAAAGGAATCGTGACATCCGCACACAAGGGACTATTACCCAGCTGTGAAAAACAAGAAAGCAGATCTACTGCACAGCTGTGGAATTGTTGCCAAGACGGAACACATTTTTAAAAAACTCAGTGAAGAAGTGTGTGCAGCATAGTCTCATCCATGTGAAATTAAAAGGGAGACATGCGTGAGTAACAAAATTCTGACTGTGGAGAGAAGAGGGGCCTCTCAAGAAGGAAATAGGGAACATCACCCTGTCTGAAGTTTTGCTGAGAATGTGTGTATCTTTTTAGACTATATATAAAATGCAGAGTTGGGATAGGAAAAGAAAAAGCCACACAAGTTTGCAGAACCTATCATTCTTTTGGCTTGTTAGCTATCAAAGTAAGTTTTCCTGGTTAGAAAAAGAAATAGGTTTGACACTCAAGTCATGTACTGAATGATCCATCCACATGAAGCGCCCAGAGAGGCAGCTCTGTAGACAGAACAGAGATTAGTGGGGGCCAGGGGCTGGAGAGAGAGGGAGTGGGGAGTGATTGCTAGGGGGTACAAGTTTCCTTCTGGGGTGATGAAAATGTTATAGAATTAGTGGTGAGAGATTCCTCACTCTAAATGCACAAAAACCACTGACCTGTGCACTTTAAAAGGATGAACTGGAGGGATGTGAATTCCACCTCAATAAAGCTGTTCTTAAAAATAAGTTACATCTTATGCTCATGCTCCTCTCGGCCCACATTTTCACCTCTAAGCTCCGAGCAGGCCAGTGGATTCGCCACGTGTGAATGCAGATCCCACCGTGCGACTTCAGTAAGCTTCCGAGTAAACTGCAAGCGCTTCTAGTGGAAATTCCTCCACATCCCCCTGCTGTGTGAAGCAGACAACACTCGGGGTGCCTGCACTTAGAGGTGTGCTTTTGAGTTCAACTCTAGGTCCCTAGCTTGGTCGCAGATGGATGACAGATGGGCGTCTGCACTGTAAAGATATCCCCAAGCTTAACGGTCACCACTCTCCCGTGACAGGTTTATTGGCGCACACCTAGGAGCTTCCTTGCTTCCTCACTGGACTGGTGGACAGAACTCTCTTTTCCCCTCTCCCTTCCTGACGGAGGGCCCTGCCTGGGCATTAAAACTCCACCCCACTCTTTTTTCCTCCCCAGAGAGCAGCTGCGCGGTCCTACAAGGTCACTCTGAGTCACCGAGGCTCAGCGTGCAGTAAAGCACGTTGCATCAAATCGGCATTCCTTCTCCTCCCCGTTGATTTTCAACCCTCTGATTGCTCCTGAATTCCCTGGGTCTCTGCAAAGCCTGGAGAAGGGCTGCTCAGTACTGTCCTCATGCGAGTCCACGTGCCTGCATGCGGATGCTTTTCATGCCATGTCAGTTTCTGGCCAACATCCTCATCTCATAGTCTAGTGATTGTTCCGTGAGCGCACGGCGTTGGCCGCCCACCGCCCTGTTATCTGCAGGCGCTGGCTCCCGGTGGGCTGCGCCCCCTCGGCCGTCTAACCTGGACTGTCAGGCAGGAGGAGGGGAGTGCTTACTGAACAGCTGGGCTTGCAGGATTCTCCCTCTGCGGCGGCTTTGCAGCCTGAGGCCAATTTTTACATGAATTTTCCCAGCATCGGGACCCGCGCACCAGGGGGAGAGCGCATATCGCACCGCACATCTGCCCGTGGCACAGACCCTTGGTCTGAGCTCTCACGGGTGGCTCCCTTCCCCTCGCGCTCAAAGGCCCAGGGAAGGATGGGCTTTCCTCCTGGGCTGCAGGGGAGGGGTCTCCCTGTCATCTCCCTTCTCTCCAGAGACCCCTGTGTGGGCATTAGTACCCAAGTCACCAGCCTCTTCCTGGACCTGACGCCCATCCCCCAGGCCGCCTCCAGCATGGCTGTGGCCTTCTTTATTTTTTGGCCACAGATATTTTTCTCCTTTCTTTCTTGCTGTTCTGAGGACACAGATTTTAAAATTCTGTTCTATTTTGACTTCCATTTCTAAGTGTTTGTTTGTAGCAAGAGGGACGGACTAGCTTTGTCAATCGTGTTGTTAATTAAGAACCTTATTTCCCAAATAGGCTCATGTTTTATAATCAGAAATAAAAACTTGAAAAAAAAAAAAGAAAAACAAGTAAAGAGAGGAGGGCATAGCTCAAGTGGTAGAGCGCATGCTTAGCACACACAAGGTCCTGGGTTCAATCCCTAGTACTCTTCTAAAAAAATAAGTAAGTAAACCTAATTATCCCCAAAATAAAAAAAATTTTAAAAAAAACCTAAGAAAAATATATCCTTTGTTGAAAACACATGTGTGGATGTATTTTCTCTCCTGAGCGATGACATGTTAACAAAGACGACGGCTCTCTGCTGTGGGGGTGAAGCCTGCTGGCTACTTACTTGCTCATTTGCAAAATCAACTGTGAAGTAAGTTAAGACGTGGTTCCTAATCTAACACAGATGAAAAGGAAAAAGCAGTCGGCGGACACAGACATCCGCAGCGTGCCGGCGGCGCAGTACCTCTTGGCTCCCCCTGCGTCCGGGGAAACAATGATGCAGTTCCTCCACTCGGCGATGTTCTCCCGAATCCACTGCAGGACGGCCGGCTCCGCATACAAGTTGTCCACGGGAATATCAAAGAACCCCTGAGGGGAGAAGTGAGTGTCACGTTATCACCAAGTAAAAAGATCCTTCCTTTCATGAAATAAAATTTAATTCTGTATTCAAAAGAAGCTCTTTTAACTGATCCCTTTTCTTAATTCTAACAGAATTCAGTCAAAAGATACATATGTTCCAGGAGCAAGTTTCAGTCCAGTCCAGTCCAATATCTTTGCGGACATGGTCTGTTATCTTACGATTGCCTACATCCTGGGGAACAGGAGGATGGCTTTGTAGGGCAGCGGGGGAGGAGAGGTTTGCTGTTTCTAAACACCTTATCAGAAGTCAAATACTTCACCATTCATTCCATCACAGAGTAGGCCCAGGATAATTTGGCCTGTTTTTACAAATGAAGGAACTTAAGTTATGAAGAGTTTAAAGAACCTACATTACGACTCTCCCATTCTAACTGTTTTCCAGAAGTTGAGATGGAATTCTAGTTTCATATCAGGAAGCCATTCCCACTCCTCCAGAAGTGATTGCAGGCAGGGTGGTGGTTGGATTCAGATCTCAACATTAAATTATATTTCTGAGTTAAGAGGAAAATCTGAGAGAGTCACTATACACAAACTTAAAGGAATGTTACCCCCTTTGAAAATTACTTGACTTAATAGAGAGTTAGGATTTTACCACTTGCATTAAGCCCCCACCACAACCAAGGACAACAAAGAAAATGCCAGAACCTGGATCTGAGAGGCATGCAGGTCCATGGTGATGATGTGATCTGCCCCCGCGACCGAGAGCATATTGGCCACAAGTTTCGCAGAAATCGGAGCACGACTCTAGAATAGAAAGGCATGGATTTTCTAACAGGAAGAGAGATGGGAAGAGATGGAGACATTCAAATTCCTCCCACTAAGATTTACACGGGAAAGATGAATCACAGCTGCTGTATTACACGTGAAGAAAATCAACATTAATACCTTACAGTTATTAAACACTTTGATAATTTAAAGAAGTTAATCATTAATATAGCTACATGTTATAATAGCAAAAGAGCTTCATCCCATTTTATTCACCAAATATTTACTATTTACATCAATTCCTTTGAGATAACACGCTTGACACTGGGTATAGATGACAGACATCAAAGAAGCAAGTAATTAAGCATACCTACCTGTAATATCACAATTTAGATCATTCAAATTGTGACAAGAGTGTAGCATAATAGGGACCGAGAGAGAAAGTGAGAGTGAGAGAGACACACAGACCAGCATGAGGGACGTCACGTTGAAAGATGCTGGTTGGGAGAGGCCCCTCTGCGGAAGCTGCTTTCAAGGCAAGGACAGCAGAGGCAGGGAGACTAACGTTCCAGAAAGAGCGGCACATGTGATGTCACGGAGGCCGAGGTCACATCCTGGGACTGAACAAAGCCTAGCGCGGCTGCAGGCAGTGGTCCAGCAGGGCGGGTGGGGGCAGGCCCGGAGGGAGGAGGCGGGGGCACACCCTGCAGAGCCCTGAAGGCTCAGGCCAAGGCCGGCGCTTACAGACACGCTTCCACACTACCGCACTACAGCTGAATGCTGTTACAAATTCAACAAAAACCGGATCAAAGAAATGACACCTTAAGGTGAAGGATAATCTGCTATTTTGAGGAACAGAGGCAGCCGGACACTGTGCCGTCTCTGAAGTTACCTAACTTGTCCATTGCTTTCCCTTCCACACCGTAAATTATGGACAGTGGCTGTCCACACCCAAACAATCCCAGGGACTACGCAGCCATGACTAGATGCAGGCAATGAGCTCAGCATTTTGCTGTAAATAGTACTTCAATCTACCACACACACACACACACACACAAATGCAAGCTTAAGAGAAGGTTTCATGCAAACTTACACCATGTTGTATGTCAATTATATCTCAGTAAAGCTGAAAACAAAGATTTCATTCAAAACAGTAACAAATAAATGATCCCTGTTAAATACACACACACACACACACACACAGTATATTCATGTAAAAACACACATAGGAAGTAATTATATCACAATGGTAACAGATTATTTTTATTTTCTCTAATAACACTATTCTTTTCTAAAAAAGAAACCTATTACTTTAGAAAAATACACATATATATGCACACACACACACACACTTCCCCCCTCAACACAAAGAATGAGAGGCAACATCCCCAAGTGTTAACAGTAGATGTTTCTAGAAAGCTAGATTCTGGGGAAAGTTTCCTCAGTTTTTTGAATTGTTCAACCCTCTGAACTGACTACATATTATAACTCATGTCTTCATCGTGTAACTCCCTTGCTCTGCTCCACGCTGCTTTTGGCTTAGAAAGCCCTTGCCCCACGGTGGCTCTAGCTGCTGAGAACTGGACTGCCTCCCCCTACCCCCAACATCGGCCACAAGGCAGGATCCTCCCCACAGCGTGTACCAGGCCTGCGCTCTCCCTCTTCTGGAGAACACTTGAAGCCTTGCCCTCCACAGCCACACACCCACCTTACACTTACCCCGACCCCATCCCCACTGAGCCACTGCGTTTCATCCTTCAACCTGGTTCCAATAACCCAACTTTAAAGCACCCCAAGAACTTCAGAGAGAAGTGATCTGTCCCTTCTAAAGGGACACAGCATTTGGCCCCCACCATTAGGGACCTCCTGATGCCACCTGCTGACAGAATGACACCAGAAGGTATTTTGTGTACGGTGTGTAGTTGACAACTAGACCATGTATCCCTCAAGGGCAAAGAATTGGTTCTGGAGATTTCCCCATCACCTGCAGCACCCAGCTCTGTACTTTGCATACGATAGTTCTTTGATAAATATTTAATAACAGAATCTCTAGAACACGAAGTTTCCGAGGCTCAGTCATTAACCTCACTGATGGTGAGAATTACTTAGTCTAACAAAATTCCAGGCCAATTAAAAGAACAAATCAATCGCTGGCAATGACTCACAATACTAAGCAATTTGGGGCTCTTCCTATAATTTGATAACCTCTAAAAAGATTCCTCCATTCTCATCTTTCCATGACATTGAGCCAAAGCACAGGAGTCATTTCTAAATTCATAGTTTCTGATCTCCTCCAAACTCTGTTTTCAAATGTGGATTCTGTACTGTGTTTCACTATGTGGCTTGCAGGAAAGATGATCCCCAAGCTAACTGACTTGACAGCCAGTAAAGAGAAAAATCAGTATCGCATTTCGGTGAAGGTCGTCAAAGTACAGCAACAAAATGCTCGACTCCCCTAATGAAAAATGGATAAAGGACATTTTGCACACCAGTCCAATCATGACAGACTCTCCAGATAGTCCAGATCTTACTCTCAATGTGTCAGATGCTGCCCTGCTCCAAGCAGAAACGACACAAGCTTTCACAATTTCCAAGGTTATAGAAATTCATGTCAGCACAACAGTCCAACTTTTCCAGTTAAGAAGTAAAAAGAAACAATTTTATCATTGAAAGTAGAACATAACCTTGAAAACTTTGCAAAAAAGCCCCAAGTCCTCTACCCCCTCAAAAGCAGTTCTTCCCAGCTGTGCCCACTTCATACTGTTACTACCAGGGGACGAAATAAGCAATTATTGAGCAGCCACCAGAGCAGGGGGTGGGGGGCAGGGAACTGCGGCCCCGGGGCCAAGCCAGCCCATGGTCTGTTTTTCTACCAACCTGGGAGCTAAGAATGGTTTTTACATTTTTAAGTGGATGGAAACCAATCAAAAAAGAGCACTATTTTGTGACACTTGGAAAGTATGTGAAATTTCCATGCCCATAAATAAAGTTTAATTGGGACGTGGCCACGCCCCTTCATTAAATATGGCTGCTCTCACCAAAATGATGGAAGTGAGTGATTCCAACAGAGACCCTGTGGTGCACAAAGCCTAAAAAATCTGACCCCTGCCTCTTTGGGAGAAAAGTCTGCCCACTTGTGTATTGTAAGCTAAGCACTTTCTAAATAGTAGTAAATACTGCCTTTAACTCACCGAGGAGGAAACGAAAAGACACAAAGGACAAAGAGCAAACAATGACACTAAAAGTCAAACCTGAGTCCACTTGATTGCAGAGTCGGAGCCCCAGAGCTCAGACCACCCTGCACCACGCCTTGTACAACTAACACTAGATCGTCATCACTTTTCCATGTTAGTATTACAACGTGCTCATCACGAGGAAACCTTTCCTTCACTGTCAGGAGTTGTCCCTGGTTTCTTGCACATACAAATAAAGCCAGAAACCAAGATTTTCCGGCTGTCCAAAGCTTACTTACAAAGAAGCAGGGAGATGCAACAAGTTCTGAGTATGGTTAAAAGGCTCTAGCTTTTTCTGGGCTTCTCCGCCAGTAACTCTAAGGAGATCAATTGCAGGGAATTCCACTGTGTCTTTAGATACCAAAGACGGTGCAGTCCTACGGGAAGGAAAGGCCATGAGAAAGTCTGGGGGGCTTCCCAGGGCTCCTCCTGGGGGCCGAGGAGGAGAATTTCTTTCTGATCTCATAGGGCAAATGTGGCCCATTACTTCCCATCACGTTCGGACACTGCAGGGCCTTTAGCCTATCTAAGTGAAGCCAAAAAGGACAAGAAGTGTTTTCCCCCATCACTCTGGGCCTCCTCACTCACCCTTGCTGGTAAACGACTATGCTCAGCGGCTCAGGCCCTTTCTCTCAAGTGCTTACCAAACCCTTCGTTACCCTCACTTCAACTGTTTCCTGATACAAAGGCAAACCACTTGATCTAAGGAAAGAAACGAATAGTTAGAAAAATTACTAGCAGCAATTTGAGAAATACAAAGGCACACCTCAATCAACAGACAAAATTAAGGATTTCCCTTTCGACCAGTGTGGTGAAAAGAATGGAAGTGCCTCTCCTCACTATAACACGAGGCACCTTGACTACACAGACAGGTCAGAGACAGTAGTGCCGGGACCATCGACACGTCCCGGTCACCTCCAAGGTCAGTCCCAAAGCGACAGGCTATACAAAAGGTGGCCGTGAGTCAGACTCACCTGGGACAGTCAGGTAGACACTTCCGTGGCATTCTTATTCATAGAATCCCCTTTCAGGCTCTCAAGTATCCTGACTTAGACGATAAATGCTGTAAGAATGACACTATCTCAAAGTTTGAGCTGTTCTTAAAAGACTCAGTTATTCACCCATCAGTGACTTCCTTCCAGGCCCCCTGGAGTGGGCTGATCTCAACGATCTCAGGTCCCAAGCCCTGGAACCTGTGCGGCTGTTACTTCATTTGGAAAGAGGGCCTTTGCAGATGTGATTAAACTAAGGATTCTGAGGTAAGGAGATTCTCCCAGAGGGCCCTCAGTGCTGGCATATGCGTCCTCAAAGAGGGAGACTGCACAGAGACCAGAGAAGAAGGCCCTATGAGGATGGAAGCAGGGGTCCGGGTAATATGGCCTCAAGCCAAGGAACATGGCAGCTGCCAGAAGCTGGGAGAGGGCAGGACGGACCCCCTCTAGAGCCTCTGGACAGGGCGGGGCTCTGTCGCACCCTGATTCTCGACTTCTGCCCTCCTGAACTGTGAGCGACTAATTGCTGTTGTTTGAAGCCACCCAATTTATAGTAACCTATTACAGCAGCAGTCGGAAACTAATACAGCCCTCTGTGATGTCTTCCTTCCTATCAGTTTTCTCCAACGGTCAGGTGCACGATTTCTCAACTCCGGATTCCTGCTGCTGCTGTCTGCGCAGTCTCTCAGTCGCTGCCACATTCTCGCTTCTGTGCTGCTGACGATGAGCATCTTAGCTCTCCCATCAGTGCTTCAGTTCAGAAAGTCGTGGAGTTGTCTGATCGAGTTAAAAACTAAAAGCGGCTACCATATTATTTCCAAGAAACACACTTACAGCCAAGTGACTAAGAAGCAGTGAGAGGAAGGAAAGGAACTGGTGCTCAAAATGGCCCCAAACGGAAAACCCACGTAAACATCGGACAATAGGAGCACAGATCAAGAGCGGGTCAAATGAAGCGGTTCCACAGAACAGTTAAACCACGAGGGTTCCGAGAGCTCTGGTCAGTGCAGTGGAGGGGCCCGGAGTCACATCATGTCCCTGTGGGGGGCAGGAGACCAGCCACACGGACAATGCCAGCTTCTCTCTACAACGAAGACTTCACTATAAATAAACAAAAGAAACAAAGCCTGAAAATACCATCTTGGAACAAGAGGTAACTGCCAGTCAGATACCTACAAACCAAAAATGCAGGCTTCTTGATATTTGGGTCAGTTGAAAAGAAACTTAGGGTTACAAACCATTGAACAGTGGGAAAGGGCCATGTCATAACAAAAGGAGTAATTTACTGAAGATGTAATTTATCAAATATCTTAGGGCCAAATGCAAAAGCTAGTAGAAGTAAAAGGAAAAGCTGATTACAAATTACAGAATACAGAGTTGACTAAACCTTCAGTTACACGGAAGAGAAATTATAGCAGAGCATTAGGTCCTTTTTGACACTGACGAGGGTGAAGATGCTAAACAGTCCATGGAAACACACAGATGGAGGAGGAGCTAAGACAACAGACTATACTGATGCGACCAAATAAATACATTGAAACTTAGCAGCTAAACATGCACATAAAACTTTCAAATCAAGTTGACACTGAAAGCCACTTAGAGATGACAAGTGGGAGGGTGTATGCTTCACAGGTGGGATCAAAGGTTTTGGCAACCCACAAGCTGAAGCCAAGTCACAAAGTGACACACACACACACACACACACAAAAACCCCTCTACCTGCCACACACATGAACATTTCACGGCATGTGGCCGTTATATGAAATTCACATTTCCGTGTCCATAAATCATTTTACTGACATACAGCCATGCCCGTTCATTTACATATTGTCTGTCTCTGAGAAACAACTATTGTTCAGGAGTTCCCACAAAGACCATAAAGCCCTTTACAGAAAAAGTTTGCAGACCTCTTCTAATATATACAGTGAATCCTATTTCAAGTGCAGGATGGGGTTCTGGAGATCAAACTTTTAGTAAGAAAGTAACTGACCATGCTGCATTCAGCCTGGCGTCTGAAAACCTCACCTGAAGAAGTTTGGCACTAAAATTTAGGGGGAATTCAAATCTATAAAAGGGATTTTTTTTCATATACAAGATCTTATGTGCTGTTGAAAAAACTGCGTTGTTTCAGAAAATGAATTATGGAAATAAATGGAGGTGAACTGGGAAAACCTCTCATCATCAGTTACCACATCACAGAACAGCAGTGTCTGGTAAACTGGAAGGATTCCCACGGAACCGACTGAACATCTACTCATAAAATACAGGACAGCTTGGAGAGGGGTGAATGGTATCCCCAAAACTCACGTCCACCCAGAACCCCAGGCTGTGACCTCATCAGGAAATCGGATCTTTGCAGATACAACTAAGGTAAAGATCAAGATGAAGTCATTCTGGATTAGGGTGGGCCAGGACCGCGCTTTTATAAAAGAAAGGCCACACAGAGACACAGGAAGGCAGCCACGTCAAGGCAGAGGCAGAGATGGGAGTGATGCCACCAGAAGCCAAGGAATGCCAGGGGCCACCAGAAACAGCAAGAGGCAAAGAGGCTCCCCCAGAGTCTTCAGAGGGAGCGTAGCCCCGCTGACACCTTGACCTCTGACGTCTGGCATCCAGAACTGCGAGAGAGTACACTTCTGTTGTCCTCAGCCTCCCAGTTTGTGGTCATTTGCTATGGGAGCCCTAGCAAAGTATTACAATCCCCTTTAGGGTTCCCTCCAACCCTGACTTTCCTCCAAGACAAAGACCCCATCTTCTTCAATTTCTTCTAGAAACTCACAGAGTCTCCTACAGCGTTTAACGGTTACAAAAGAACAGTTCAACAGTATTAACTTCATTCCTCTTGGGAGGTTAAAAGGAGATAATTGTATAAATTAAACTCAGTATCTTGAGGTAAGTGTAGACTCTACGCAGCTCTAAGAGACAAGGCTGAGGTCCAATGTGTTCTCGCCCAGTTTCTTTTCC